GAGAAACTAGTCCCCCAGGTAGGCTTAGAAGCACCATGCCACCTGTGTGCCCATTCCCCTCTGCTGACTCATCCTAGACAGGCCTAGGGTTACGAGGCGTCTGCATCCAAGGTCCAGCCTAGCTCAGGGCCCCCTGAAGCCTCAGCTTTGGCTAGCCTCCCTGGATGAAGGCTAGCTGCAAGTGCACCCTAGGGTAGGCGGAGCGAAAATGGGTAAGTCCCCTTCTCTCCCTCCCACCTGGAGCTAACCTAGGTCCAGAGGCCCCGTGTGGATCAAGGGGGAAGTGATAGAGAGGCTTGTTTGAGTGGCACACAATGAAGGGGAGGGGCCAGGGAAGGGGGTAAAGGTCAAGATGGGGGGGATCCATGGAGTGAGCAGTGCTGGCTTTGGTGGTATTTGGAGGTCTTGGAGTGGCAGAACAGAAGAGGAGGATGGGCCGGGAGCCCTCCCACCCTAGGGCCCAGGCCCCTCGAATGTCAGAGCTTTAAGGGACCTCGGAGGTCATCCCGACCAGCACAGCCCCTTTCGTCTTTGGCCTAATTCATGAGGCTAGTGACTGGCAGAGCCAGGCCGCGCACCTCCGTCTTTTGCCTCCTAGGCCAGTGTGCTTCCCGCCACACGAATTTCCCATCACCGCCCCCAGACAAGGTGTATGCTGAGGGGCTAGGGAGGGCACCCTTTATGCCTGGTCTCAGCATGACCCTCCCTCCACTCACCAAATCGCCATCACAGGCCCCTCTTGCCTGTCCTCTTAGAGCCAGAGCCTGAGCAGGGCAGCGTTGTGGCCTTGGGCACATTATTCCCCAGGCTTGGACTTAATGTTTTCTCTAAAGTATGGGGTAGGAAGAAAGCTCTGGAGTTGGAGGACCTGGATGTGAATCATGGCTCCCCTGCTTCATAGCTATGTGACCTTGGGGAAAAAAAAAAAAAAAACTAGCTAAAATAGTGGAGAGAGAGCTGGGCCTGGAGACAGGAAGACGGGAATTCAAATCCAGCTGCCGGTGTTTCTTAGCTGTGTGACCCTGGGCAAGTCCCTTCACCTCTGTGTGCCTCAATTTCCCTCATCTGTAAAATGAAGGCGTTGGGCTCAGTGGCCTCCAAGGCTATTACCTTGTGATTCTCAGTCACTGCCCTTCTGTGTAACCTTCTATAAAATGAGCTGGGTTGGAGGGTGGGAGTAGGGTGGGAATTGGCCCTTTCCAGCTCAGAATCCTGTGGCCCTAGTAAGGAGGAGAGGAGGCCTTGCCCAGCATCTGCTGTCTGACAGGCTTTCTCATGGTCATCCTAGCAGCTGTTGTCTAGCTGGGTGGGGTGGGGGGGGGCCCTATGACCTCCCCAGACAAAGAATTGAAACCCTATCCCACTTGATCCCCTCGAGGCTTGGGCCCCAGCCTCCACGCCCACTCTTCCTAGGCACAGGTGACTTGTGTCCGAGCACATATAAACAGCTGTGAGAAGGGGACAGATGTTACCCATGTCCCTCTGCCACCCTCATGGTGGGTAGGGTATCCCTCATATAGTTGCCACCATCCAAGCCCGTTTTTCTGGGCGATGGTCCCCAGGACCTGGAATTCTACCACAGGGGAAGATTGTACTGATTTGCACTTGGGACCTCCCTACCCTTGGTTGCTGGAGGCAGCTCGCTGGCCCGCTGCGGTTGCCCATCCCACATCCCACAAAGTTCAGAGCACCAGGAGAAGGATTGTCACCTTTTAATACAATACTTGAGAGGTGTAGAATATAATCTCAGAATCTTCTGAAGGGTGGCTCTTGGCTGAGGAAGAGGGTCAGTTTATGAGCAGCTGGGTTTTGCGAACAACGTCAGAAAAGCTCAGCAAATTTTAACAGCAAATGGAAGAAGAAAGAGGAAAATACATGTGGTTACACAACTCTGTTTCCAGGAAGGCCAGGTGAGATATCATACCGGGCAGACCTTGCCTCAATGCTGCCCAGAGCTCCCTCCTGCCCGTCCCATTTGTATGGACGTCAACTAGCTCTCAGAGGTGGAGATGACCCTGGACAAAGAGCCCAGGAGGGACGTTGATGGGAAGGCTGTGCCCTGGCCCTTCCTGGAGTGGAGGTGGGGCTGGTACATCTAGTGCAGCCAAGCAGGGAGCCCTAGTGGCCCTCTGAGTGGGGCCAGCCCAACAGCCTCAGGTCGGGTGAGAGGCAGAGGGAATTCTAGGACCACTGGAATCTTTGTGCCAGGCTTTACTGGGTGCAGCTAGCTGCTAGAGGAGAAGCCTGAAGGAGGGAGGAACCCTGGGGCCTCATAAGAAGGCAACCTGCTTTGGGAGATGGTGGACCAGACAGCACTAGGCCAGACTATGAAGCTAGTGGAATGGTGAGGCCCAGGGATAATTCCAGAGGCTGAGGTGAGCACAAGACCCAGGGCAGGCAAGTTTGAAAGTGGTCTTGGGTCTGCTCTAGGCCAAGACATGTAGGCATCAGCCCTGGCCAGAAGAATCCGGGCTCAGGCTCAGGGCCTCTGTATAGCCTCAGTTCTGACTGTTGAAAGGTCCCTCTGATCTCCTGTCCTACAGCTGTCCTGGGCCTGTCTCTGTCCCCCTCCCAGGGATGTCCACCAGTCAGAAGAGATCTTCTAAGATGCCAAGCCTCAACCCAAGGGCATTGTTTAACTCCTTGAGTGCCGTCACCTTTCTTACAGCTCTTGATGAAGCCAGCAACTGAGGCTACTGTGTGAGGGAGGCAGGTCTGCTGCCTTCCCAGAGATGAAAGGGAGGAGAGAAAATGCTTGTAAAAATTATGGGATTCACTAGCTTTTAAATCTAATGATTTGGGGTGATCAAACACAGGCTGAGGCCTGGGGGCTTGTGGAGGGCTAAGGTGGGGGTGGCTGCGAGTGCTTGGGATTAGGGGAAGGCCAGGGAGCAGCCTGTGACCTTGGGTGGTAGCTAGGAGCTAGGTGTTGAGGCTGAGTAATGAGCCCCAGCAGGCAGAGCTGGGGGGTGGAGGGCAGAATTAGTCTGGCACCAGGGTCAGACAAGAAACCACATTGCCCTGCAGGGAGAACGAATTGGAAAAACCTCCCAAGGTTTTGCTTTTTTCTCAGCAGGTACAGGTAGCAGGAAGATGAGGCATCTGTCTCCTGCCTTCAGTAAACCCTCATCTGTCTTCTTTGTGCTGTTTAGAGGTGGGGATTGGGGGTGGGGGAGTACAGCAGTGGTGGTATCTCCATCCCATCCAAGACTCCCTCTTTCAGAGCTTAAAGAAACTGATGCCCAGATTAGCATCTTTCATTCAGAGGGAGCATAAATTAAATGTCAGTGCTGAAGCAGACCTTAGTGGCCATCTTGCAGATGGGGAAACTGAGGCCCAGAGAGGACTTGCCCAAAGTCATACAACCAGTAATTGGCAGGGATGGGATTCAAACCCAGGTCTCCTGACTCCCTGTCCTGTGCTATCATATACAAGGTATGATTTATGGGTTGTTGCAAAGCCTACCTCCCCCATGTTACTTCCCTCTGAGCACCTAAAATTGCACCATTGGCAAATCATTCCTTAAACATCATCCTCTCCCTATATCCTCTGATCCCCCTGGGAGGGGGCAATATAATTGATCCTTAACGACTTTCAATGAGGGTAGGGGGAGGTAGAAGAGAAAATAAATGCTTGTTAGTTGAAAAAAAAATTTTTTTTAAGTTAAAAAAGTTCTTAACTGAACTGAAGGTGGACCCTGTTTCTTGGCCCTATGGAGCCCTTTACAGGGCTTTCCCAGTAATGGCGATCTGAGGGCACCGAGCCTTAAGGGTCAGTCATGGTTGCACTAGGATACACGCCCACTCTCTCTATTGACCAATCCCAACACCAGACAGGAAGAGAGAGGGCTCTCCTTGACAACCCGTGGCCCCTCGTGCTGCTACCTGGCCAGAGGAATGACGCTATTATAGCTGCCCTTAGAGTTTCCATTTTTGAAAGGAACCACTTTTTCAGCCCAACCCAGCCCCCTGCACAGCTTCCTTTCCAATTTCTGCTCTGGCAGCGAACATGGATTTGGGGATTTCAAACAAGACTGGCCTCCTCAGTCCCAAAGCCAAACGTCCTGCTGTTCACAGGGTCAAGCCCGTTGCACCCTGGGAGCCAGTGCACATACCAAGGCAAAGTTTGCACATTTGTTTATTTGTCCCAAACTCCTCCAGGATTTCAATGTCCATGGCCCTGAGCAGCAGGCAGCCGGGTCGGCTTCGACTTTCTGCTGGGGAAGACTGGAAAGGACCATTTTAGGAGTTTCCCCTAACCCTCCACTGCCCCCATGATTTCTAACCTGTCCTGCTGCTTGTGGCCCAGCCTTTATGTAAGATCCTGGCCACTTACTAGACTCAAAATTAATATTATGCTCCCGTGGCCAACTTTCCCAAAAGACCCAGGCCGCACACACACATTTGGGAGGCAAAGAGGCACCTTTTGTCATGTGGCCTTGACTGATGCAGGGGAGGGAGGCTCAGCCCTTCTGTCGTTCATCCAGACAGGAAGGAGACGTTAGACAACCACCTGCAGCAGGAGAAACTGACCAAGGTCTGTGTTTCCCATCAGTCAGCACGGCCACCGTTGGGCCAGCAGGAAGGCCAAGGGGGCTGGCCCTCTTTGTGGAGGAGGGGGTCAGGGTGAGACAGGTATAGGATGAGACTGTTCTCAGTGATGAATCTGGGCCTAGGGGTGGCCAGAGAGCTGCTCTTAAGTTACCAGCAGCCATTACTGGTAAGTTCCCAGGGTCACAGGTATCAGGAAGCCTGCCTTCTTGCCAGGCAGAAACAGAAGGCCCTTGGTAGGCAGGAAGTCTCCAAGCATTCAAAACAAAACCCCGTGTTATCTCATTCCTCCTCTGCCCACCCTTCTAGTTCAGCAAGGCTTAACAGGTCTTAGGCCTGGAATGTTTCTGTTGCTACAGATTATAGGATTTTGGGCCCTTAGAGATCATCTACTTCAACCCTCTCATTTTAAAGGTGAGGAAACTGAGGCCTAGAAGAGGGGAAGGGACTCTCTCAAGGTCACACAGTGACAAAGCTGGGATTCAACGGCAGCTTTTTGGACTTCAAATCCAGTGTTCTTTCCATGATATCAGGCTGCCGGAAAAGGGGCGGGGAGACGGGGGGGGGGGTGTACCTAGCCAAAGGGGCTGAGGGCCCTGGACTGGGAAGAAGGTAGGCGCCAACCCTTGTCCTGGCCAACGCTCTCCTGGCTGCCAGTTTGTAAAGTAAAACTTCGTGGTTTGGAAAACCACTTCAGCGTGGGATTGTCTCTTTCCCATGTTTGGTTGAGTGGTTTTGTTTCAGACAAGCCAGGGTCCAGGAGGAAATCTGTAGGGGCCCCCAAGGCCCTTCCCTGCCCTCATGGCCCAGAGGGCAGAAGGGGCAAAGGCCCCAGGGGCCCTCATTCACTGCCACACTAATGATGCTCCAGAGCACCAGCCAGTGTGGGGACTCAGGGATGCACACATTAAGACACAAAGCCAGAGGCCAGAGGCCCAAGTGGAGAGAGGCCGGGAAGGGGCCCTAGGGTGGCTGTTCCAAGCCTAATGAGCAAGTCTTCAAGTGGCTCTGATGGTTCCCTTTGTTCTCAGCCCAGGGGCATTTGGGGCAGTATTCAGCAGGCCTGCTGCCCAGGGCCTGGGCAGGGGCAAGAAGCTGGCATCTGCTTCACAGAGAGAGGCCGAGGCCAGGGCTGGCTATTCCTGGCAGCTTTTGTGCCTGCATTAGTTAGGGTCAGACTCTCGCCTGGGCGCCCCTCACTGCTGGGGAAATGCCAGCTCCCTCCTTCCACCGCCTAAACAGAGGCACCCAGAAAGCTCCAGTGTGGCAGTGGGGTCAGGATGGAGGCAAATGAATTTGCCCCTAAACTACTTAAGGGGCAGGAAGAAAGAATGGTTCTCTGTTGTCTTATGAAACCCTTCCACCCACCTCCTTTAGTTCTAGACATTCCCTACAGATGACTGGGGTACAGCTCTAGGCCCGGGCCCAGGGGCAGCCCTTTCCCCATAATGCTGACTTGTCATTACAGAGTCAGAGATAGGTTTCTAGACAGAGCTGACAAATACTTTCACGAGAGGAAATTGAGCCTCAGAGAGGGGGAGGGACTTCACCAAGATGAGATTAGTTGACGACCAACCGGGGGCTTGGATTTTATATTCTTAATGGAGTTGGTGCAGGACTTAGCTCTGAGCAAAGAGTTATGTACACAGGGCTTCTTGTAGTAACTAGAGAAGGGAGGCACGAGGACCTGGGGCAAGGTTTCTGAGGTCAGTCTAGATTGGAGAAGGTCAGTTGTCTCCTTGGTAATGGTCTGAATTAACTCTGGATCTCCCCCTCTGCTACATGTTTATGGAAGGGGTCCAGCCTAGGGATGAAGGGAGGGATGAAGGGAGGGATGACCACAGCACTGGCCAGAGGTTTCTGAATGAGGACAGCAGAGGCCTAGGCCTGCATTCGCCCCGTGCAGGCCAATGTTAAAAGGTTTGGAACAGCCAGGCTCCTGCCACTTGCCGAGCACCATTGGTGGCAGCAGGTGACAGAGCTCCCAGTGGGCCCAAGGATTGCTGGGCTTGAGATGCGAGGCAGAGGAGGTGTTCCTGGAGGACAGCCTTTTCTTCCCCAGCCAACTCAGACCCTGGCATCCAGAGGATCCATGAGGATCAACAGTCAAAGAGTAGAAGCTCTACCTGTCCCATCCTCACCCCAGGAAAATGTGGTTTGTGGAATTCAAAGATTTCGAATCAGGTGAAACCTCAGAGATACAAGAAAGTCCAATGCCCCCTTGTTCTGCGTGTGGGGAAAACATAAGAAGGGATCAGCCTCTATTGTGACTGATCTTGGTCCACACAGAGCCATGTATGTCACTGAGTGGATTTGGTGCTGGTGGGATGGGATGGAGTGGGATGGATCACCCCGTATTTGGAAGGGCATGGCCTAGCACCTAGAACAGTTCCTGGCACTTAATAGACACTTGTCAGTTGGCTGGATCACTCCTCTGTCCCAGCACCCTGTAACAAGAAGAAACAAAGGAAGAAGGGAGGGGAAGAAGCGGAGTAACAGGAGAAGAAAGAAGCAACTGCCTCCAAGGGCCAACCGTCAAAGCCTCCCGCTGCTGTGCTCAGAGCCACTAGGAAGGGGCTCCCGATAGCTCGAGGAGAGTCGTGGGGTACTCTAGTGTTCAATGACATCTGAATTTGTTCCTTCCCCACTATTCCCAAAGATCGATGGACCATGTGGGTGACTAACCTGTCAGCACCCGGGGGCCTGGATCTGCCCCAAAGGCTCCTGGGACCAGAGGGACCACTACGAGAAGTTGGCTTCCACCAGTGGCCTCCAGGCCAGGGCCAGGATGTTAACATACCTCTCCGACTTCACTGGGAGATGAGAAAATCCAAAAGGCAAAAGAAAAGCCACTTGGCTAATGACCACAGAGCACCCGAGAGGGTGCAGGAAATGCCCGGGGCTGGGCTGAGGGAGAGGTGCTGGAGGCCAGAGGGGGAATGCCAGGGGAAGGCAGGCACGGGGCGGGGGAGGGGCAGGGTGTTAGATGTGAGCCTCTGTGGCAGGGACCCCGGGCAGCAGCTCTCCGTTCATGATGGTGTCCGAGGCCAGCATCTTGTCCTTGCTGGAGTCCATCTCCTGCTTATTGGGCGTTTTCCGGTGGAACAGTGGCACAAAGAAGAGGATGATGCCTCCAATCATGGGGGGCACGCCGGCAAAGTAGAAGGCCACATGGTAGTTCTCAAAACAGTTGTGGAGGAGCCCTGCAAAATTCAGTAGAGATCTGGCTTTGTGCCTCCCAGGTGCCCACAGAGCCCTCGGTCTCCTCCCCCCAGGGACCGTGTTACTTGTTCAGATTCCACGTGAACCAGGGCCTTGGCAGGAAATCTGACTCAGGAGCACATAGGATTTAGAGAATACAGACTGTCAGAGCTGGGAGGGCCCTTAGAACATGGGAGGGATCCTGGACCAGGGAATGGCAGAGCTGGGAGGGATCCTG